CATAGCATCCTTTCAGGGCCATAGGCTGAGAGCACAGGGCAGTGGTACAACAGAGAGCACCTTCAGAAAAGTAGAAAGGAAAGAGCCTCATGTTCAAGTGTGATGTCACTTGTGGTTAAAAGATACCTGTGTTTGGCAGATCAGAGAATTTAGCATGAGAACATTTTAATTCTGATTTCACAACACTAAGGGAAATACTTCCCAACACACCTTACACAAATCCATCCTGTTTTCATGAAGCCTTGTGCCCTCCTTCTGGGTAAACATGACAAGGTCCCCTAGTGTTCTTTTCAGCCTCGAATTTACAAGGAATTAAAATATGTATCCACAAGGTGGGAAAGGAATTCTGCTACATGGTTGGTGGCAATACAAAATAGTACAACTGCTTTTTAAATATTTAGATCTTTAATCCATTTCAATTTAAGTTTAGTGCATGGTGAGAGATATAGGTCTAGTTTTAACCTTTGCCAAGTTGAAGGCCAGTTTTTATAGCACCATTTATTAAAGAGGCTATCTGAGGGTGTTTGGCTCCTTTATCAAAGATGAGGTGGCTGAGTGTGTCTGGAGATGTTTCTGCATCTTCTAATCTGTTCCACTGGTCCTCAGGTCTGTCTCTTTGCCAGTACCATGCTGTTTTTAAAGATCTAAATATTAAAACAGAAACACTGAACCAGCTGGAACAGAGGTTAGATAGAACTCTTGAAGACATTGGTGTAGGAAAAGATTTTATGAACAAAACATCAGTTGCCTGTGAACTAGCACAAACAATCAACAAATGGGATCTCTTCTTACTAAAAAGCTTCTACACAGCAAGAGAAACCACCAACATTGTGAAGAGAGAACCCACAATGTTCGAAAAAATTTTTACCTGCTGTTCCTCAGACAAAGGTCTACTATCTAGAATCTATAAAAAACTTAAAAAAATCAGACCTCCCAAAATTAAGACCCAATCCAAAAATGGGATCTGAAATGAACAGACATTTCTCAGACAAAGAAGTAAAAGCAGCAAATAAACATATGAAAAACTCCAACATCACTGGTCATTGGGGAGATGAAGATGAAAACAATGCTGAGATTCCACCTCACTCCAGAAACAATGGCTACTATCAAGAAATCAACCAATAACAAATGCTGGTGGGGGTATGGGGAGAAAGGAACCCTTCTCCATTGTTGGTGGGATTACAGACTGGTGAAACCACTGTGGAAATCAGTATGGAGATAACTCAAAGAACTAGGATTGGAAATCCCATTTGACCCAGCAATTCCCCTGCTGGGTATCTTCCCCAAAGAATTAAAAGAATCATACCACAGTGATATATGTACACCCATGTTCATAGCAGCAGAGTTTTTAATATCTAAAACTTGGAAACAGCCTAAATGTCCATCAACTGGAGACTGGATAAACAAAATGTGGGGGTTTTTTAATAAAATGGAGTACTACTCAGCCATAAAAATGAAAAATTAGAGACATTTATAGCTAAATGGATGCACATTGATGGCATACTCTTAAGTGAAATAAATAGGACACATGTATAAATACAAAATAGTTTCTCTACTATGAGAAACTGAAAGTGTAAATAAGGACTAAAGGGTATAACAGATAATGTGAAATAGGAAGAAAAGGGGCAAAGGGGAAGGGGGAGTGGGAGGGGTAGGGAAAAGCAAAGAAGGGAATGGAATTAATACAAGAAAATGAAAAAATGGAAACAAAGTCTATATAAATAGGGAGGGATGGAGGGGTTGAAGGGAGGCCAGGGGAAAGGGGAAAAATAAGAACCAAGAGAGATTATGTAAAGGTGCAAATTTCCAATGATGAATGTCATATTTATTGTATACCTAAAATGTACCAATAAAATAAAATTTTTAAAAAATCTAGTACAACCACAATGGAAATCAGTATGGAGATTCCTCAAAATCCAAAATTAGAATTCCATTTAACCCAGCTGTTCCCTTTCTAAGTATCTTCCTCAAAATGTTGAAGACATCACATTACAGTAACCCATGCATACTCATGTTTATAACAGTACAACTCATAATAATTTAACTTTGTAGCAGCCTATATGTCCATCAACAGATAAATAGATAAAGAAAGTGATATTTACATGCAATGGAGTACTACCCTGCCTAAAAGAAGGATAAACTTGAGTCATTTGTAGAAAATTAGATGCACCTTGAGACCATAATGTTAAGTGAAATGAATCAGACACACACGCTTAGATATTACATGGCTTCTCTTATATGAGAAGCCCAATGTATATATAAAGAGCTAAATAAAAGAAGATAAGTAGGTAACAGGGGGATAGATCTTTTGCAAATGGGAAGGGAATGAATAAATAGAAGGAGAGGAAAGGGAGTGGGGGGAAAAGAGATGTAAAAAGAAATAAGATGTGTTTTGTACATGACCAACTTACCACCATGAATGTGCAATCATTATGTACAGCAAAGAGGTACTAACAAAAATAAACACAGACATATGGACACACACACCAAAATACAGTAAAGAAAACATTCCTGGGACCATATCCAGATGTGACATTTCCAAGAACACATTTGGCAGATGAACAAGGACTTTCTATTCCCAAGAGAGCAGCACTTCTCTGTGGGTCACTGCAACAGACCGTGCCCGAGAGGTGTGGCTGCAGAGCACAACTCTCCTTGAGACTCCAACTGGACAACATGGGTCATCCACACTTGTTGGTCAGCCATATTACTTACACACACACACACACACACACACACACACAAATCCTTTGTACAAATTGTCATGACTCTGGCCAGAAGAATGATTTACGTCATCCACCAGGAAGACAGGAAGATTGGGAGGAACCAGTAAGCTCTCTGAAAGGAAAAGTTGAAAAATTGGAGTCAAAGTTCTTTATTAGAAAATGTCTGTGTATTTTACAGAAACCACAAAAAGGAGAAATATGGAGAAATATGTAAGTTGCAATTTTAGACTTACTAATCACACATGGAGTTGTTCCAGCTATTTTTGAGGCACGACACAATCCATATCCAAGAGCAAGGAGTTTGAAGGTTCAGACCTTTTGAAGTAAATCAGACATATTTGGAATGATTTTTAATAACTCCTTTCCCACAAATATTGAGTAGCTGAATGAACACTGGAAATCATTCCCTTTTGCAACCTGTATGGCAACATGATGACTTAAGGAATAAGCTCCCTAGGTCGGAGTCTGGCTGCCCAAAATCCAGGTATTTACACTTCTTTTCAATTAGACAGCTCTCCACTCCTCTGCCTCTTGCCTCACCCAGAGTAGCTCTGGGGATGACTGTCGCAGACCTCACGGTGCAGAAATGACAAACAGGAGACAGGCTGTCTGCACACAGTGTCGTGACACACCTGTTCGGGAAAATGTTAGCACTTCAACCTCTCAGATCCTGATGACATATTACCACTTTTGCTGTGCTAATCAAAAAAAGTTACACTCACACATTTCTACATCTAGATTTGAACATTATTAATGCAAAATCTTTGAGCTGACAGGATAAATCAAACTGCAAAGAGCAAGATAAGAGGAAGGATGGGACAGGTCCATCATATTACCCAGCCATCTCCCCAACCACCCAGGTACCCTCCTGTGAGCCCCAACCAGGACACAAAAAAATAAAAAGTAGTTTTAGAAGGGAGGGAAGGAAAGAAAATAAAAACAGGCAAGATAAAAAATGGTTAAGAAAGGAGGAAATTCCAAGGTCATTCAAAGGGCAGGCGTTCTGACAGAACTTGGTGTTTGAGAAAATCGCCCAAGTGCCTTCAGAACTCTGGCCCTGGGACAGAGGATTAGGATCTTTGGAAGTGCATGTCATACTGGCTGTTCCCCCTTACCAGTCCCTGAGGTGACCCCGATGTGGACAGGTCTAGAGTACCGCAACAGAGAAGTCACATGTGACTTGACTCGTTTAATGTACGTATGTGTTTGTTGGTGTGAATTGCATAGACATTCATGCGAGGTATTTTAATGCCACATTCTCCTCTGGATAGTCAAAAGCATTATTCTCATATGATTTATGATTTGTTTTGGTTATGCTTTTCTAGACTTTCTTATATTAACATTAAATTATGTATTTTACATTTTTGAGGCTCTAGTTTTTGTGAAATCATAGATTACTATTCTTATTAATGAAATGAGAGAACGAAGAGTGACCTTTGTTATAAGATATAATTCAACCTAAATATTGTTTTATTATAACATGAGGCCATCTGTACAAAGAAGAAAGTTCAGGACAACTTCAAGCAATCAAAAATAGATAAATGATAGATAGATAGATAGATAGATAGATAGATAGATAGATAGATGATTGATAGATGGCTAGATAGGTAGAACAAAGCAAAATTCCTGTGCATATATTACTCTTTTTTACTTAAATTATTCTTCTGAAATATTTTTCTGATGCTTAAAAACCACTTATCACTGAAGTTTTGATGACTTAAAAGCTTAAATTAAAGCCATAGTGTTTAGATTGAGTTCTCTGATAATAGTAAAGCTGACAAGCACTAAAAAAAAAAATTGAGAAAAACCAAGCAAGAAAAATGCTGCTTCCAGAACTCAGTTCCAATAAGTAACTTATGAGAGGCACTTGTAAATTTCCACATCTCTTGCCTTCAGGGAATTTCATTACTGAATACCAAAGCTGTAGTCCAAAATGCGGGCTCTATGAGATGCTGCTGCTAGGGATGCTGTCAGGAGAGCCCACTTCCTTTCCTAATAACCAGATTTTGCCTGACCAGAAAGGAATGGGCTTAATGCAAAGTTCTATATGTTTCCTTTTCCCCATGATACCTGGCTAGAGTCTCTAACTCACTGCAGGGGCATCCAGCAAGGGAGAGTTCAGGATCACATACACCAAGGGTTTGATAGCATATGATGGTATAAAATTTAACAATGTACTTTTCTGGCTAGTGAACATTAACTTGGGGAGCCCAGAAGTGACATAAATACCTTGGCTGAGTGCTTAATTGCCCAGTTAAAGGCTCCTTATGTAGTCTACTTATTCTTCCAGCACGAACTTTTTTTTTTGGTAAATCCAGAATGTTTGTGGTCCTCTTGAAGGTGATATCTAAAGATGAAAAAGAAGTCAAGAGCCTGGAGGTGTCTTAGGGTCTGTCTGTCGGCATGTGGAAATCTATCGGCATCCTCCTTCCATTTGGTCAAACTCCAAGGAGCAAGTGTTCAGGTCCGTAACTGACTAAGAAACTGCAAGATGTCGTCACTAAAGGAATTTTACACTGCTTTTCTCTAACTTTATCTGAAAACTCTTCTTTTAAAATTATTCCTCTAATGATTACAAGCAAATTATTGCTCTTTCAGAAGATGGGCTATGTTGGTGATCATGAGTCATGTCTTAAATCCTAAGTCCTATATATATACAAGACCCCTTCCACTGTGCACCCAGATGCAGTGATGAGTTATTTGAGAGTTGCCCAACTAGCCAATGGGAACACTTCCCTTCATTCCAGCTCACTTAGAGTGCTTACAAATTACAAAAGTGATGGTTTATAGTGGACAAACTTGAATTTGAGCATGTGCATTTCAAAACTGCAGAATTTCAATTTTAATCAATACCTTTCTATGATCCAATGTCATCAAAATTCATAAATTTAGACACCTATTCTGCCATTTTTCTCTAAAAAGAGAAATAATTATATATGTTAACTAAAATCTTTTAAAAAATAAAATTGTATGGGAAATGTACCAAAATATCACTTGAGCTTATGAAAACAGATGTGACTTTTATTTTCTGCTTTATTATGTTTTCTTAGTGCTCTAAAGTGAATATATTGTTTTATAACAAGAATTACTCAATAAATAATGAAATAAATGTTTTATATCTGAGAATTTGACCATGTTTCACATATGCTATTCTTCAGCACAAATGTGAAAGGAGAATTATCTTTCTCATGAGAAAGCTGAAAACAATCATTTAATTTCATTGACATTTTGAGTGTTTATAATTTACTGAGCTGCCAGAAAAAGCAATACTACTATTACTTGAAAAGTTTAGTAAAATCGTATTTCCAATTTTTATCCTCGCTAGAGAATAATACCTTTAAATTGTTAATAGATTTAAAGATAAAATTTATATATATATATTTTTTAAAATAAAAAGTTTATTCCACAATCCAATTTTTTGAGTTATGAAGAACGAATCAATATATATCCACAATTGGTTAACATGTAAGATATTCATAAGATGAGAAAGGTAGGGATGGTCAATATTGATACCTGTTTTCCTTCTAACTCTTGAAAGTCAGAATATCCTGATATTCATCAAAACTTACCAGACAGTACTTAAGTATGAAAAAGTGCCTCATTTTACAGGTAAGAAACTGATTTTTAAGGGGGCTAACTGCCAAACTGAAGGTCACTGAGTTGGCTTACAGAAGAGTTAAGATTTGAACTCAAGTGCCTCTGCCATATCTAAGTGCTTTCTACAGTCACTGTGCTGACTTCCCTGTTGTTTCCCAACTTTATCCTTTTTAATATGGATTAACTTTAAATTTTGTCAACATAATATTGTAAAACATATCTACAAAAATGTGGGAAGACCTCTACAGTGAAAACCTATACACCTATCACTTAGACTCTCCATGAACGTTACTTGTATCTCATGCTAACCTTTGACTTAAAGTCTAGTTTATCTAATGCAGTGTGACTGCTTAAGCACACTTCTGGGTATTATTTGAATAAGTATAATGCATTCTTCCAATTGATTTCAGATTATTTGTTTTGTATAGTAGAAGACTTCTCTTTAAAGGCAATATAGTTGAATTTTACTATATACATATATATGTATATGTTTTTTTATTAGAAAATTTAAGCCATTTACCTTTAACATAAACAGTCAGATAATTGAATCTGTGCCTACCATCTTGCTTTCCTCTGTGTGTGTCCCATTTGCTTTTGTACCTCTTTTTCTCCTTTCTTGTCTGATTTGTTAAAAATTTGTGTTCTTTTACATTCAAATTTATGTTCTTTATTTTATTTTGCTATGTCTATTTGCCTCATTTTTTGAAAGTAGTACTAGGGGATATTGTATGGACCCTTAAATGATTATAGTCTGCATAAAGCTAATAATAACAAATTTCACATAAATGCAAAAACTATACCCCTACTTAGATTTTGTTAACTTGTCCATCCTGTGGCCAAGGCCTATTTTGCCCTATCTATTGTTCATACATATGTTCATACATATGTTATAATCTCTGGAGAGCTTTCTTTAGCATTTCTGTTGATCAAAAAAATGTTCAGATTTCATATCCATGTGTCTTCATTTATTTTTGAAGGATATTTTCACTATGTATAAAATTTCAGGTTGATTGGGGGTTTTACTCATTAACAATTTAACATATCTTTTCATACTGTTCTGCCCTGCATTGTTTCTGATGAGAAATTAGTCACTATCCATAGTTTTTCCATATGTAATATGGTTTTTTATTCTGACTGCTTTCAATATTTTCTTCACTTTTGTATCTATCTGTCTTATATTTTAGTTTCTTCAATTTTGAAAGGTATATCTTTCAGCAAATTTGAATAATTTTTTGAAATTCTTTATTTGAATATATTTTTCTGTCCTATTTTATCTTTTCATCGTGGAACTCCAATTACACCTGTGTTAGACATTTTGATATTGCCTCCCAGGTCCTAAGATACTGTATTTCTTCTTCTTTTCCTTCTGATTGGTCATTTCTATTGGCTCTCTCCCCTGGTTCCATGACCCTGTTACCTGCCATTTGGAATATTCTATTAATCATATTAAATGAAATTCTGAAAGTTGCACAGTTCTTTGATTTCCATTTCATACTTTTTTCATATTTTCCATTCTTTCTTGAGATTTTTTTCTATTTCTTAGATTGGTTGCAAGAATTTTTTTATAACTATAATGTCTGAATTTAAAGTCTTCTGATATATTTAATATCTATCTTATCTCATAATTGGTCGCAATTGGTCTCTTTCTCTTGACTATGATTCATGCGTTCCTGTTTATTTGTAGATTGAGTAATTTTTGGATGATATCCAGAAAATTGTGAAGGTTAAGCTGGGGAGATTCTGGATTCTGCTGTATTCTTCCAAAGGAAGCTGAGTGCCCTGCAGAGCAGGCAGTGAGTTTGAATAACCCTGAACTTTAAACTCTATGGCAGAAAGAATCTGAAGTCTTGGCTTTATGGTTCAATGCATGCATAGTTCAAGGCCCACCAAGAGTTTTGGGAACAATTTGTACACAGAATTTGGGGAATCCTGTTTCCAGTATTCCTCGCTTCATTGAGTTTTCCAAGGTTGTGATTTCTATAAATGACACCTTTGGACATTTCAATCCAGCAAGGCAGAATGTGTCTGTATAATTTAGGGAACCCAGTATGAGTCAAAGGCTGGGGTGTCCTGTACAAAGCAGAAATCTCTTCTGGAAGAATCCCTTTCTTCCAGTGTGCCTTCAGTTTCTGTCTAGTTTTGACCACTCTCCTTTTTATAGATTTTTGTCTAAGGATGTATTTGTCCAATAGGGCTATTTGACTAGGGCACAAAGAAGAACCAAGTTAAAATTAACTTTCTCCTCCACATGTCTAGTGCATATTTTAATTCTTGTGCTAGTTGAGGCATATTGCTTTGTCGTTGAAACCAGACACTCAAACCCTAATATTAGCCTTTCACTAGCCAGTTGTGTGATGTTTTTTTTTTTCTCATTTACAAAATGGAAAGAGCAACACTAGTATTAATCTTACAGGATTGTTTTTGAGCACAAAATGAGATTATGTGAGAAGTGATCTGAATAGCAACCAGTACATAATATACATATTTGAATTTTAGCAATTAACTATTATTAACATATTTAATTCTTTTCTTTTTTAAAAAAATTGCATATTACATAATATTTACTTCTGGAACTCAGGCTACTAAGATTCACCAAGATCTTTCATTGGCCAACTTTAAATTAAATTTTGTACCACTGCCAAATTACAATCTTTCCTTGAAGGATTAAAGAGAACAGATAAACCCATAAATGTGCTTAGGGACACCTGCCTTTGAGAAATGACTGAAATTTGGCTAGCTAGAAATACATTACTAAAATTTTGTGAAGTTCTCTGACTCTGGCCACTTATTTTATGTAGTTGACTCAGCTGTCCATGTGCCGTCTAGTTGACCAGGCAGAAAACATGGCATGGAGCAGACCCTTATTTATTTAGGAAAAAGAGCCATGCAGCCTGTGATCAAAGCAGTGGGCTTGTTTTCCTGCATCTGGCTACATGACTTTCTGCCTTCCTACTTCCCTTCCAAAAGCCAATGTTATAGCTACTGGTGAACTATTAAATATTACTTTAAAATACATTTATACTTTGGGTAATTACTTTTTTGCAACTCAAAAACAAAAATAAACTAAAAATCAATCAGTGAATGAATCCTCTCTTTTTCTTTGGACCACCTCGAGGTCCATTTTTGCAGACATGTTAATAGAAAATACGAACTGCAGAGCAGAAAGTCAGACTGCTGTTTTTCACCGTCTGCAGCTGCCTCTTGCTGAGGATCCAGAGCTTTTAAAATTTAGGGGTATTATGGAAATTATAGAACTTGTGAAGGGATGCCTCAGGAAAAAAAAAAGTTATAAACTTCACAAGACTCATGAATCACAGGCCTAATTTATTCTCAGTAGAAACTTCCATGATTTTCAGGCATCCGCTCCACAGGGCTTGCTTGGTGGAGCTGGTGCAGCCTGAAATCCACACCACCGAGGACGTTGCTTCACGGTCCCATCGTTCCTTGAATTATATTTGTCTAATTTATATTTTCTCCCTTTGGCAAGGATCAAATGGTGTTTTTCAAATGTTAGTAAAGAATTTTTACATGTTGCCATCTTACAAATATAAATTAATAATAATAATGTTCTATTTCAAAGCAGATATTTACAGCAAGGCATTAAAAGCAATTGAACCAAAAGCTTCAAGATGTAGCATGAAGCAAAGCTTAGAAAAATATTACAAAAACTACTAGTGCCTCTAGCTATAATATTTTATTCAATTCCATAAGTTTGAAAGTGCTTTTTTTTGCCCAATGAGAACCGGAAAGTGCTGCTGAATCACTTTTCTCCATTTTCATTGCTTTTCCTTTCTCTACATGAGGACTGATGAACAAAACATTCCTTCATTTGTAATTGAATATTTATACCCAATACTTATTATTTTT